AACAAAACAATAAGTCTTGAGTTCGGTTCGTAGTACCATTCTGTCCCTTTCTCCTTCAGTTGCATTACTTAAAACTTACTACTCTCCCTAAATATGCCTAAAATTGGAACTCATCTCCCAAGAAGAGTCTCTTAACTTAATTCAATGGACGATTAAAGACCTCAAAGTAACCAAACCAATTATATATAAAAACACATTGATATAACAGGAATGTACGATGAAGAACTAAAATGGATGTTAAAAAATAAAGAGACTCACAGAAGGAAGGCAACGAATGCCGAGGCTCTTTGGCGGAGGTGTAATTTCGATGACTTTGTAGGGATCGATTTTATTATTTTTATTATGATCTCTTCCTTTCTCTTTCTTTCTGCAACTGACTAGGAGCACGTGTGTCTGCAATAATACATAAAAAGCATAAAATCGATCACCAAAAGACTGAAAACTTCTATTCTTTTCCTCGATTCCAAAAACAATTCCAAAAGGCCGCCAAAGTTTAAGGAACGGAGACATATTAAGAGGAGTTTGATGGCTAGAATTTCTCACCCTTTGACACGTACTCAGATTAGACGTGAACATCGCCGTGTCTCCGCACTGTGTTTATGTCTCTGATTCTGGGAATTCCTTCTCTCGTAATTTCTCTTTCGTCTTTTCTGGTTTTCTTCTCTGGTCAGATGAAGCCAGGAAGGAGACGCACATCAAAAGCCAGAAATTGGAAACGTGTTCTTCAAATTTATTTTCCGGGGAAAATACTGAGAGAAAATGGTAAAAAAAAAATTACCAGGAGATATTTTTAACAAGTCTGTGGTTGTGGAACGTATAAAATGGGTTTTTGTTTGTTTGTTTGTTTGTGTATCATTTTCTTTTAGACCGTAAATTCTCGCAGTAAAAATCTGAAGAGTCCGAAATAATTTTTTCCCAAATTAAATATCAGTTATCATAATTAATTAAATATAATATTTTTAAGGCAAAAAATTATTTTATAGTAAATTAACAGTTTATATATATATATATATATTTCTAAATTGTTCTCAAGTTTCTTTTTATTCTTCAGAAATTCCCAAATTTTAAATCTAATTTTTTCTTTTGCCTACTAAAAAATGATTAATTCTTTATGTTCATGATTTATTTTATCTACACAATTGTCACTTAGGTTATTAATTTATTCCTAATTTTTGGTTTTTGGTACTTCTTTTAAGAAAAATAAATGGATAATACAAACACATTAAAATTCTTTTACTTCACTTAAAAATCACTGATTTATATGCGTATTAAAAATTAACTGCAATCAATTTATAATATTTAATTTAATAAATTTATATTTAATTTATTAATATATTAATAAAATTATAACAACTAAATTAAATTATATTCCAACTAACCATTACTTACATAGATTAAAAAAAATATTATGTTGTGATTAATTTTTTTTAGTTAACAAAATCACAATAGATTAAAAAAATCAGATTTAACTTTTTTTATTAAAAAAATAAATTAATTTCAGAGATTATAAAGAAATATGAGTATTTATATAGAAAAATGTAGAAAATTTTGAAATTGAAAAACTATTGTTTCCATTGCCAAAAAGATTGCCGTTTTATTTTTAAAAATACATTTAAAAGAAAATAAATATTGTCTCAATTAAAAATACATGCTACTAAATTTTTTCATGTAATTTACTATTTATTAAGTTTATATTTCATACAAATAAATCAAAAAATTTAATTAATTTATTTTTTGAGTAAATAAATGGGCTAGAA